AACAAAATAACGCTGAAAACCGATAAAAACCCTGAAAACCATACATTTCACACCTGAGCCTCAACTCTCGCGGCCCGGTACCAAACGGCTCACGGACCGGTACCGGTCCGAGGCCCGGGGTTCGGGGACCGCTGCTCTAATAGACTTGACTGATTTCGGCTAGTGTGTACCTGTATTACGAAGATCTTTGGCTTTCCAACAAGGTCCTGGCATTTGTCTCCCTTGAACTTGGACGTGATCTCCTGGATACTGATTTTTCCATCGTAGCAATAAACATGGTTATCCTCTCCGTGGCTCAGGAAGGCGAGGAAAAAGCAATCCGCATCTGAGTGATCTTCCTCCGCAGCTAGTGGGACAAAAAGTACTTGTTATACTTGCAGCTGTATGTTGGATTTGAGACAGATATGTTTGCAGGAGAGCAAAGAGTTATGGGAGAAATCAAACTACGGTGATGATTTTCTTGATGATTTTTATGTCCATCTTGGATGCATGCTAGGTATTTGAGAGTTACAAGTGATTATGTGGGTACCTTTGGCGATTTCATCTAGGACTGCCTCCTGCTTGTAGTTATCATAACACCTCACTTCAAAGTTTAGGTCCTTCAATCTGAACAGAAAGTGAAAATGAGTTGATTATTTTAACAAATCAAGGACCAAAAATAATTTTATTGTTCTTTATGAGCAGTATAAATTCTTTAGACAAGGGTTTGTTTGGATCAGGATTGATTGGACCTTTTTCAGAGTCCTAAAAATTTCAATGCCTCAATATTTCTGCTTCTGCAGACACTCTACAGCATCAGCTATTACCACCCCAGGAGAGACGGTCATAGGATTCTTTCTAAAATCCACAACCATCTCTTCAGTTGTTGATGCAGTGGGAATAACTTGGACCAGTGTGAAATCAGCCTCTATAGGGCCACGATCACACTCTGTAGTGGGGATTGTGATCAGGGTCATCACTATTCAGGAGAGAAACAATCACAGAAACAATCTCTGTGAACTTAAAAATATAGCGCACATATTGTCCTTGGCACTCCCTGGTGCACCGCAGTGAAAGAACTCAGCCTCAGGGCAATCCAACAGAGAACAGAATAACATTTAATAACTAGGAAAAAAACATTTGAAATTCTTACACGATATTACCACAGAATAGATCTAAACCTGTCATGAAAGCGCGGGCTAATGCAATTTCCTTTTCTTAAGCAGGTAGCTAGAAGTTGTACCTTTTCTCCAAATTGTAACGATCAGCATTGGTTCCATTTCTGTCACTCAAGCCCAGGAGCCAGAAGAAGCGCTCCTGATTAAAGATCAGTGCAAGACCTCGTCGTTTGTTGCCCATCTTGTACTCCTCTGCAGGATCCAGGTAGCTGAATATCGAGTGAAAATTGGGCACATGAATACAGCGCAATAATCTAAGTGAGAATTTCAAGTAACAGCCACAAAACGTGGAAGTAAGAATTTACCTTCTGATGAAGGAGTCGGTCTCTGTTTGGTTTTCCGTGCATACTATTGAAAAGCACATGCATAAATAACCAGTGCAATAACTACAAAATAATAATGCTGTAGCAAGTCTTGCTTTATGCTTATCCAAGTTTTGCAACATGCCAGTGTTAATGATAAACATGATATTGGAAAGAAAGTAGTAACACATGTATGACAATATCCTACATCGTACTGTGCCAGTAACTACCTGCTTAATGCGCCAGTAAGAGTGTTAGAATAAACCGAGCACAGACGACAACCGTGATATTTTAAAATCTCAGTACTGCATCAATAATGCACTTGACAATATCATAGTTGTGTAATTGTTCCTTTTCTTCAGGCCGTCCTCACTAACTCCACACGCAAATGTCTTAAAATAATTAAGATGAATTTGACCATTAACATATATCTAATATCCTGTTAATACAGGAAATTAGGTTTCTTAATATTGTAATTGAGAAACATTTTGTGTAGTGAAAATCAATTCAAGTCAATTCAATTTATATTTATAAATACTTATAAATATTATAAATACTTATAAATATTATAAATACTTATAAATATATTTATACATTTATATATTTATTTATACAGAGCTAAATAACAACAACAGTTGCCTTAATGTGCTTTATACTGTGAGGACCCTACAGTATTCAGGAGAAAGCGTCAACAATCAAATTATCTTTTATGAGGAAGCACTTTTGAGTGGTGGGAAGGAAGAACTCCCTTGTAACAGAAAGAAACCTCCAGCAGAAACAGGCACAGGGAGGAGCCACCCTCATCCTCATCCTCCAACCATGCGGGAAAAGGAAAAAGAAAACACAGCAGAGGACTTATCCATAGCAGGATTTAGCTTTTCAGACTTTTGTTTTTGTTTAAGAGTACAGCTACAAGTGCTGCTAGTGTGGAGGTCAAGCAGCCATTGTTCCATCCGCTCAAAGTCCTGACAGCTGTCAATGGCTGAGTGACGGGTGGAGAAACATAGCAAAGGCTGCTAAAAGAACAAAGCCCAAGAGGAACAGCTCTATTCTCCACCCTACAGATACATAGGGCATAGTATTTGTGCAAATGAGGTAGAATGGGTGTATTTGAAGGGAAAAGGTTATTTGAGGTGACTGTTGTTGGTTCTATGTAAATAAACCTTTGTTAAAGTGAATCCGTGAGGGCGATTTGCTCATTTTTATTTCCATAACGTGGCTCTGAGGCAATCTTTACCATCACTTTAGATGTTTTGCTTTTGTTATTAGTTACTCACATATATAAATAAACTCACAGCTGAATACAAAACAAGCAAGCAACAAAAACTCTGGAAGTGCACCTGGAAGTCCAACACTGATAATTAGGAGAAAAAATGTTGGGTATAAAGCAGCCATAAAGCAGCTTCCTGACCTGGACTGAGGGGTACAGCTATGAAAGCGATAGTAAAAATCTTTGAGCTGATGATTACATGCCCTGTTTGTTTCACCAGCAACAAAACATTACTTTTATTACATTGTTTGTACAACTTTACAGCTTTTAGTGTTTCACTTTTTGCTTTTGGTATGAGCAAGTACTTTGTCGTTCATGTTTTAAAAAAAGATCTTAGAATTTTTATATACTTCACGGTAGGAAATACTCACCTTGCTTGCTTTCACCTGTTGGTTTGCTGTCTGTGGCAACACTTCCTAGGAAAGTCAGAGAAGGAGGAGCAGTGAAGTCCTGACTTCATTGCTATTACATTAAAAAAACTGATACACTTTGTACTAACGTGGTGACTTACGTAAATAAACGCTTATAGTAAATGTGTGACAGCATTTATAATAGAGCATACCAAACAGTTTAAAATACATTGAGCTCAGGGTAGATCGAAACTTAGTAGCGTTGCACGTATTGTTCGGCTTTCAAATTAACAGGTCACCTGTCTGTTTCTAATATTTTTTTAAAATGCAAATTTATTACCTCCGCAGTCGTCTTTTTGCTTGTCAGACATGTTCACGGTTCGTCTTTTTTTCGGACTAACGCCGTGAGAAGAAAACATCACCGTCGTAGAGCCCACCCTAAAAAGTTTAGGGTGTGGTTCCGCCCACCGTAATCTCATTGGCTCAGAATTTCACCTATTGGCTCTCGCATCTGTCATTCAAAGATTTAAAGACTAGTGTTTCCGTGTTTGCAACATTGCAACAAGTTCAGGCAACTACCAAATCACGAACAACGACAAGAGCATGAGAAGAAAGTAAAAGATTAAGTGGGCTAAAAGCCTAATCCAGATTTATGTTACGAGCCTCATCTCATACATGACTAAAAACATAAAGCCTACACTTCATTGTTCTTGAGACATTTAAAGGTCCACATATTTATAAACGAATGACAGGTAACAAATTAAAAAGATGTTTCTGCAAGTCACAGCTTTACCATCGCATTCAGTTACTTTCTGTGGAAGGGCAGGGGGGATGTGCTAACACTGCCAACTCATCATATGTTCCGTTTTTCTCATGGTATAAGGAAGTGGATACTGACCGCCTTATTTTACTGTGTTTTGTAATAATGTCCTGTTTGGCAGTTTTAGGAGATATGGGGAAATTATATTGGAAATATGTTAAATGAAGCTCTGTTTCCCTCTGTTGGAAACGGTATGCATAACAACACATAATCACTTTCACGTCAATACACAAACACACATTATAATTTCCGATATTATCTTTAGACTACAGCAAAGTTCTATATCTTTATTCGTACAGTAATCATATGAAGATTGCATCATTTACTGTGATGTAAGTTTCAGTAACACCTTTAATATTACTAATTACAATTAATTAAAACATTAATTGAAAAAAATACAAACTCAGCTCGAACACTGGGGAAACAAGGAAGAGGAACAATGGGCAAATTACTACACTATGACAAGTACAGGCATTACTAATGGCATGAAATGAATGTTTCCCCAAGTCTGTTTGAATTGGTTGTATTTTGAATGAATTTGTTTTCAAACTGCCTCTGGAAATAAAGGATGCACACACTTTCTGTCACAAAAATAATGGAGATTTTTATTTAAAACAAAATTAACGATGGCAAAGCCATAACTAAAATCTCATTGGTTCACAAAGTATGACCAAAGTCTGTGTGCAGTTTGGTGTATTTTCTTTTTTCTTCACAGGGATCATGACTACAAGTGTTTTTGACTAGAGTAGAAAAAACACAGCCTCTTACTTTTCACGCTAGTGTGATCACTAAGGTGCAAATACACATTAGTACATGTACCATAAACTGCTGACAGGTCATTAATTCCATTCCTCAAGTAGTAAGCTTGAGGAAACACTCTGATTGTGAAGTGCTTGGACAAGTTGTAAGTGTTACTGGCACCCTGAGGCTTAGAGTGAGAAAAGTAAGAATGAAACTGATGAGTACAAAATCCAATTTTCTGATTGCTAAGCTATCACGTCATGTGCCTCTCATGATAAGTTGGGAAACAACTGGCTGTTGACACTAAGTAAACCAGACTCCCTGACTTTCCGGTGAAAACCTTTCTGTGCAAGGCTGCTGACTATGTGTTTTGAACCTGATATAAAATAAGGCCACGTGAATGCATTTCTGTGTAGTAAGGCATCATTCTGTAAGAGTAATTTTAGTAATTTTACAAAGTAGCCAGCAAAGACTGTGGTCCATAATCATTCTGTACTCTGCTTTAATGTAACTCAAGTACGTATAGACAAAAACAACAGCTTTACAGTATTTAAAAAATGACAGAAGTTTTAATGTTGCCTATTTTGACAAACTTGTTTCCTTCATACAAAACAAACAGCTTGATTAAGAAAGCTAAAGGAACAGTTCACCCCCAAATCACATGAATGTCATTTTCCTCTTGTGGCATTTATCTCCATTGTTTTGATGCTAGTTGATCAGTTTCTCAGACACCATCTGTAGAAATGTGTGCCTCCTCTTTGACATAATGGAACTAAATACCAGTTTGTGATGCCTAAATAGTAATATGAAGAATTACATTTAAAAACTATTTTAATTCTATGGAATTAACTCAAACAACCAAGAGAAAGATGCAGTTAGTTTCACTACAGCTCAGCTGGCTGGGACACCTTTAACTTGAACATCCCACCATCCTGCCACATGTTGATGCATTCTTGCTTCTACAACCAGTTAAAGAGAAAACAGTTCCAAAATTAAACCGTTTCAGTATTTCGAACATCATTTCTGGAAAAAAAACATTGCTGCTGGATTTACATTTCATTTAGTTCTGTTAAATTCAAGTAGCGAAACATTTCAACAGCTGATATCACCAAACTGTGTAACTAACAGCAAAGCAATCAAGTGGGGTAAAAAGCAGCCCAAATCTGAATTACATACAACTGTATAAAATCAGTACTTTAAGTGGCTGCTTAGTTACTCAGGAGACAGCTATAGTTGTAACCATTAAGTAAAATAGCATAGATGTACCTCTATAATACATAGATAGTACATCTAGAGGATGTTCCCATGATTTTATAAGAACTCTGTCACTAGAAATATTGAGGATCCTAATTAGCATTCTAAAAGATCTTTTGTTTTCTGTGGTGAGATGTTGGTTTTAGTTAAAAAAATATATATAAATCAGCTGATTTAAAGACTGAGGTGAGACATTGTTACTTTTTTGGTCGGAAGTAAAGTTTCTTAGTGAGCATTGAAGCAAAACAAGGCATTTGCTTTTTCCCAACAAGCTGTGGGTCACAGGATTTTGGAACGTTCCTCATCGACACTTTTCTGTTGACTAGTGTGAGTAATTCTGTGAATTCAAGGGAGCTGCCATATTTTCGGAGCATCTCACACAGAGCCTGAATGTACCAGGAGCCTTTCTTAGTCTCCCGGAAGGAGTAGTAACCTATCAAATGACAAAAACAGCAAAACATGGCAGGTGGTCTAGTGTGTTTATGATATATCAAATACTTTACACAGGGTTCATAAAGGGTCACTCATATGGTTAAAAAAAATCTGTCCAGCAATTTTTTCACTTCTCCTCTAAGCTGAAGGTTCAGTCTAATCCCAGAAGACTCACCTTCAGCTACAGAAGAGCATATTATAAAATCAGCCCCGGCGGGGAGGGTGCGTATGGCACTGGCATCTGCAAACACCTCCACTATGCCATCCACCGCATCAGCAGGGGTCACTGTAACACCTTCATCAAACAGTTTTCCACGACATGCCTGGAGATTAAAGATGGACATTGGCATTAACTGGGTGCTGGACTTGATAATAAACATAAGACAGACTGACGACCTCACTTCCTCCGTTACATCCTCACCCATTGCCCTCAACACGGGCTCCCCTCGGGGATGTGTTTTGAGCCTCCTGCTGTACTCTCTACTCCCTTATAACTGCTCAGCCACATTCCCAAGCACCCACGTTTTCAAGTTTGTGGTGGAACTAATTTCCAGCAACTATGAGACAAAGTACAGGTTGCAGGAAGAACATCTGGAGGATTAGTGCAAAGCAAACAACCTCTCCATTAATGTTAAGAAAATGAAAGTGGCATTAATGAACTTTTAAAAGAAGCTGCTGAGAGCTCTCTTGCCCCTTATGGCGATCTCCAGCTTCAAGTTCCTGGGTATAAACATCAACAACGGCCTCACCTGAACACCAACTTCAGCAGGCTAATAAAGAAGCCCCACTTGTAACTACTGATGCTCTCCACAGTCCAGTTCAGTGGAGAGCATCCTCACACCTGTGAGTCGTGGAACCTGCTCTGCTGCTGATGGGAAGGTTCTACGAGTGTGTGCAGAAACTCAGCAGCAGCCTCTCTCTTATCAACTGAAGACATCAACATCAGTTCAGATGTATAAATTCTGCCACACATCAGAGACTTCTCATGTGTGTACCCACACACCACATTACACATTATGGTTTCTATCTTATGTTCATTAATGTTCATATTTGTACTCACATTTCACTTTCTTGCATTCTTACACTCACTGCTCTTTAAATTGTATTTTTTTCATTGTGTTACTGAGTTTTGCTTGTTTTTGCAGTGCTGTTTCACCAGTACCTCATTACTTAGTGATTCTCATGCATCATCATTTTTTGGGATGACAATAACAGCAGGTTTACATAATCTGATGGACTTGACTGGGTTGTGTATTTTGCACCTGTATTATAAAGATCTTTGGCTTTCCAACAAGGTCCCGGCAGTTGTCTCCTTTGAACATGGACATCATGTCCTGGATACTAATTTTTCCATCGTAGCAATAAACATGGTTATCCTCTCCGTGACTCAAGAAGGCGAGCAAAAAGCAATCAGCATCTGAGTGATCTTCCTCCGCAGCTGGTGGGACAACAAGTACTTGTTAAACTTGCGGCGAATTGTTGGATTTGACACATATATCTTTGCAGCAGAGCAAAGAGTTATGGGAGAAATCAAACTTCATGTACATTCTGGATACATTCCATTTGAGAGTTACAAGTGATTGTGTGGGTACCTTTAGCGATTTCATCTTGGACATCCACCTGCTTGTAGTTATCATAACACCTCACTTCAAAGTTTAGATCCTTCAATCTGAACAGAAAGTGAAAATGAGTTGATTAGTTTAACAGATCATCCATCAGTCTATTTAGAATCACCTCTTCACTACAGGACCGACATTATTCTTTACAGTGGGAATTTGTGAAAATATAGCACGTCAAATATTGGTTTTGGCACTAACTGGAGCACAAAGGTGAAATCAGCACCAAGGGGCTTGAGGAGAGAAAATAACATTTCATTATCATGAAAAATCTGTGGAAATTCTCACACATTTTTACCACAGAAAGGAGCTACAGCTGCTAAACAAGTGCTGGCATGTTCTTTAGCACAAAGCTGTGTCAAATACAGTGTTTCAGTAGATAGCTGGGAATTGTACCTTTCCTTCAAGTTGTAACGATCAACACTGGTTCCAACTCTGTCATTCAAGCCCAGGCGCCCGAAGAACTTCTCCTGATTAAAAATGAGAGCAAGACCTCGTCGTTTGTTACACATTTTGTACTCCTCTGCAGGATCCAAGGAGCTGATAAAAAAAAAAAAAAAAGAGTAATGAATGCAGTGTGTCTGAGTGCTTGGTACCAGATTAAAGCGATAATTTCCAGCTAATAGCCAAAAAAGTTGGAAGTAAGAATTTACCTTCTGATGAAGGAGTTGTTCTCTGTTTGTTTCTCTTTGCATACTATTGAAAAACGAATTCATATTCATAAATAACCAGTGCAATAATTACAAAATAATAATACAGAGCCACGTCCTGCTTTACAACTTATCTAAACATTGATGATTATGATTACCAATGATAACCATTGTATTGAAAAGAACATTGGACGGTATGGACATACAGGGAGTGCAGAATTATTAGGCAAGTTGTATTTTTGAGGAATAATTTTATTATTGAACAACAACCATGTTCTCAATGAACCCAAAAAACTCATTAATATCAAAGCTGAATGTTTTTGGAAGTAGTTTTTAGTTTGTTTTTAGTTTTAGCTATTTTAGGGGGATATCTGTGTGTGCAGGTGACTATTACTGTGCATAATTATTAGGCAACTTAACAAAAAACAAATATATACCCATTTCAATTATTTATTTTTACCAGTGAAACCAATATAACATCTCCACATTCACAAATATACATTTCTGACATTCAAAAACAAAACAAAAACAAATCAGCGACCAATATAGCCACCTTTCTTTGCAAGGACACTCAAAAGCCTGCCATCCATGGATTCTGTCAGTGTTTTGATCTGTTCACCATCAACATTGCGTGCAGCAGCAACCACAGCCTCCCAGACACTGTTCAGAGAGGTGTACTGTTTTCCCTCCTTGTAAATCTCACATTTGATGATGGACCACAGGTTCTCAATGGGGTTCAGATCAGGTGAACAAGGTGGCCATGTCATTAGTTTTTCTTCTTTTATACCCTTTCTTGCCAGCCACGCTGTGGAGTACTTGGACGCGTGTGATGGAGCATTGTCCTGCATGAAAATCATGTTTTTCTTGAAGGATGCAGACTTCTTCCTGTACCACTGCTTGAAGAAGGTGTCTTCCAGAAACTGGCAGTAGGACTGGGAGTTGAGCTTGACTCCATCCTCAACCCGAAAAGGCCCCACAAGCTCATCTTTGATGATACCAGCCCAAACCAGTACTCCACCTCCACCTTGCTGGCGTCTGAGTCGGACTGGAGCTCTCTGCCCTTTACCAATCCAGCCACGGGCCCATCCATCTGGCCCATCAAGACTCACTCTCATTTCATCAGTCCATAAAACCTTAGAAAAATCAGTCTTGAGATATTTCTTGGCCCAGTCTTGACGTTTCAGCTTGTGTGTCTTGTTCAGTGGTGGTCGTTGTTACGTGTGTGCAGGCTGCATGTTTTCTTTCCCTCCCCTTTTGTTTGCCATTCCCTTAGGTCGCAGACTGCAGGCTGATGTCAATCTGGGGACGTCCAATTAATTAGAGGAGGGAGGCCCTGATTGGACAACACCAGGAGTGAAACCCTTGATAAGGAGACTCACCTGTGGCTGGGCGCGGCTCTCTTCCCTCCTTGAATTGTTTGACACATGTGTGACGTTTCCTGCTGTCTTTCTTTTGTTTGATGATTGTGGTGGGAGTAAAGTGGACTAGGTAAGTTTGGGGACCCCATACACTTACTCACGTAGAGTCTTTGTGTTAGAAACACTAGGTAAGTAGGTTGGTGCCACCCATGTAATTTTGAGCTTGTTTTAAGTTGAGGTTTGGGTCTATCTCTCCTGTTTGTTGCTTTTCTAGGATAGTAGCTCAGCTCAGCTAAGTTTTGGTTTTGTCTTTTTGGTGGGTTTTTTTGGCACAACCTAACTGTCCCTTTTTCCCCCACATTTGTTGTTTGAGTCTGGGTTGTTTATTTTGTGAGAGCGCTGCCATTAAACCTTTTTTCATAACACCTGTACTGAGTTTCCGGAGTTGTTGTGTTATCCCCTCCTGCTCTCGGGGAGACGTAACGGTCGTCTTTCAGCCTTTCTTACCTTGGCCATGTCTCTGAGTATTGCACACCTTGTGCTTTTGGGCACTCCAGTGATGTTGCAGCTCTGAAATATGGCCAAACTGGTGGCAAGTGGCATCTTGGCAGCTGCACGCTTGACTTTTCTCAGTTCATGGGCAGTTATTTTGCGCCTTGGTTTTTCCACACGCTTCTTGCGACCCTGTTGACTATTTTGAATGAAACGCTTGATTGTTCGATGATCACGCTTCAGAAGCTTTGCAATTTTGAGACTGCTGCATCCCTCTGCAAGATATCTCACTATTTTTGACTTTTCTGAGCCTGTCAAGTCCTTCTTTTGACCCATTTTGCCAAAGGAAAGGACGTTGCCTAATAATTATGCACACCTGATATAGGGTGTTGATGTCATTAGACCACACCCCTTCTCATTACAGAGATGCACATCACCTAATATGCTTAATTGGTAGTAGGCTTTCGAGCCTATACAGCTTGGAGTAAGACAACATGCATGAAGAGGATGATGTGGACAAAATACTCATTTGCCTAATAATTCTGCACTCCCTGTATTTGTGTATCACCAACAACCACCTACACACACACACACATTAAAATAATTGAGCTTGTTGTGACAGTTGTCATTACAGTATTAACAAAAAAAAATGGCCAAAAATGCACAGAAATTATTCTACTTCTGTCTCAAATATGGTCATGCAGTTATTGTTCCATCCATTCAGAGTCCTGACAGCTGTTAACAGCTGGGTGATGCATGGTGAAAGATGGCAAAGGCTGCTAAAAGAATAGAGACAGAGAGGGACAGCTTTACTCTACAGATAATATACTGTAGGGTAGACTTAGGGTAGCATGGGTGTATTTGACAGAAGGAATTTCATTTGGTTCAGTTTTTGTTTCTGTTTCTAAAGTTCCTGCCATGGCTGAGCAGCCGGTGTGTTTAAGGAAACGAACCCAAATGCAGGCACCGAAGGAAATGGAACTGAGCTGTAAACAAAAAGCGAGCCTTTTATTGTGGCTGATGACATAAATACACAGAATAAGGCAAAAGGCGAACAGGGGCAAAAACTAAACTAAAATCTAAACTGGGCAAACTAAACTGTGGTTACTATCATTAAACTATGATAACTACTGACAGGAACATGATCCTGAGCAGGAACATGCAAATAACTATGATGAAAAACCAAGAACATGAACATGACCTGAGCAAACGTCTAACCTGATGTGAAGTGAAGGGAAGGAACACAGATGACATTGACCGAATGAAACACAGAGACTAAATACACAACTGGGGAAACAGCTGACACAAATGAACATAACATCACAGGGAAAGAGTAAAACTAAACACACTGAACAAAGAAACAAAATCAGGAAACACGGAGAGACGTAGACATGACAACACAGGCTTGACAACATGAAACACAGACACGAAATACAAGTCATACTGACACAGAAGACAAGAACAGACTCACACAAGGGGACATAGATGAAAACTTAAACTAGAATAACATTCAACTAAATCCTAAAAGATAATACCAACACAGGACTTAACATATTTTCAGTATGATATAAGAAATGAAAAATACAAAATGAACTCAAGATGCTGGGTCACAGGCCCAGCCCCTGACAGCACATTATCATGGTTATAGGCTCTACTTTGAACTGTGTGTTTCATATTTACTCCACACTCATACATATTTTAGTACAAAATGACAGGATGGTGGACAGAATACTGTGGACATCAACATTTGTTGAGATCCACCTTAAAAATCCAGCACAGGTAATTAGATCAATGTCACCCTATTTAATTTGAATTCAATGTTGACTTTGCCATAATAAAATAATACTTTTTTAAAATTTTGTAACTTTGCACTTTGTTTCACTTGTGCTTTGGTATGAACAAGTATTCTCTCTTCCATATTTCAAAATAAGTTTTCAGTTTATATAAATCACAGTCTGAAATACTCACCTGTCTTATTCTCAGGTTCTACTGTGTCTGTAGCAAAACTTAATGGGAAGGTCAGAGAGAACCTGGCACCTGTTGTAGTAACATAGTGATTGCCTTAGGGAAATTAAAAAATTATTAAAGGTGTGACAGCGCTTAAACAGGTCAGGTGTCTTTTTTTAAAATAAAGACAAAAATTGTAATTTGTTACCTCCACATTCGTCTTCGTCCCTGTTAGACATGTCCGCAGATCACCTTGCCTTCGACTGACGCAGAGAGAAAAACACCTTTATCTGGTCAAATCATCCTAAAGAGGCATTTTGTAGCCCTGCCCCCAGCTGTCTTGTTGAATCTGAAGTATTGCCTTCCGTCAAGGAAGGCAATAGTTGTCTGAGTTGTCAGAAATCTCCACCCACGGTCATTCATTCATGTATGCAGATGATGAAAGGTTGCAGTGGTATCACTTTACCACAGATGTCTGTGTTTGGTGATGATTTTGCTACAGAGATGATTGTGAAAGTATAAGTTTATACTGAGCAAAATCAGTTAAGCAGTTTAGTAGCTCAGTGCTTACGATTTCCTACTACTTAAATATTTTTTATTTATTTTCTTCCTATGTTTGATCAACATAGGCTACTGACTGTGAACTACAATAATGGAGAAGTGTTCACAGTTTCAGCTGCTCGAGAGAAGAATGGTGATTGCAGTGCAAAGATTTGTAGATCAACCAGCTGATATACAGAAAGCACAAGATATCGTTGATAACAAATATAGCTGAACGTTAGACCAGCCTTTGTGTGTCCTATAAGGAGCTTTCAAGAAATTATTAGGAGTGTAAACCAGACAAGGAGGTGGGAGATGTAGGCTGTTTATTTATTTATGATCCTGAGGAGAAGGAAGTAATGTAGATAAGAAAGACTTTTTTGCCACAGTTAAAGATCACCTTTTATCAGTGCATCAGCAACCTTAGACCTGAATAACTAGATCAGGTTGAAAACAACCGTTAAAGTGTAGTGACACAGATTAAATGTAACATGAATCACATAAGAATGATTATGTTGATTTAATAAACTGCTCTCTCAGTGCCTGCGATCATCCTCTACCAGCAAAGCCTAACTGCTGTTCTTCATCATGGGAGAAATCAAACGTCTGCTTATTGATCAGAAAAAAATATGGTTTTAAATATTAGTTTGATCAAGTTTATTAAATTTTGCATGTTCATGTCATGGATTGTAAACATCTCAGAGAGGAGACGTGCTTGCATCCCAACAAGGATCGCCTAGACAATCTGTAACACTGTGGGTGGACCAGTGTAAATATTAATAGCATCAATACCAACACTGGTACTGGTATGAGATTGATACTAGCACAAAGACTGCTACTTTGATTCTCTCCTCTAAGTTCAGTTTATTGCTCCCGTTCATTTGAAAACAGGTCTGTGCAAACACCCCACCTCTCACGCTTTGCTCCGCCCCCTCCTCCATGCTCTGCTCTGCTGTGTTTAGTTGACTGGCAGTCGTATGACAGTGCACAACCCATTTATGGAAAGCAGAATATTTACATCACCCAATGATAGGCAAATTTAGTTCTGTTTCACAGCAGCATTCAGGATGGTAGGTTGTTAGTCTCCCCTGAAAAACTAACCTTTGGAAAAGTCAAGAGGACACTTACCTTTTTACTATTGATCATGAATTCTTACTCAGTGTTTAAATCACAATAAAGACATGAAAAGTGTTTTTGTGGATGATTCAAGTTGTATAGATTTGTGACTTTGCTAAAGATTAAATCACAAGTTAGATTGTCCGATTATTATAATCTCAATCTAATGACAGACAGAACGAGCCTGTTGACTTCTTACTCAGTGCAAACACTGGGAAAAGAAGGAAGTAAAACACATAACATACTGGCTACTGGCATTTATCTCATACTGAGTATGACAAGCACGGACTGTTTCCCAAGTCACCTCAGTGGTTTCGACGTGGAAGACACTCATATTTTGAACTGACACTTTGGTGGCATTTTGATTTATTTTGTAGTATTGTCTCCTTCCTGTTTTGCTGTTTGTATTTGATGTGGAGCACCTTGTGATTTTTATCTTGCAAGGTGCTGTGAAAAGTAATAAAACTTACTTCTTTGCTGTAAATCAGTTTTGCTTTCATTTAACCTGCTTCTAAACCATTTCAGGACAAATAAGAGAATACACACACACACACACACACACACACACACACACACACACACAATGCAAGAAACACACTAAAGTAAGAAATTTTATTGAGGGCAAAGCAGTAAGTAAAATCCATAAAATCATTAAAGTAATGCAAAAAATACACTGTCAATGTGTAAATGCAAATACACATTACAGAACAGAAATTCCCTTTTTTTAAGTAGTAAGCATCTCCAAATGATGCTGTCCCTCCTCGACTTTTAAGAGAGGTGTTACCTACAGTTGGTCCTTTGGTTCTTGAGCTGGTAAACCATAGTCTGATGTCAGGTGTTGTCCCTAAAGATTTTAAACATGCAGTAGTCAAACCCCTGATTAAAAAACCTGCTCTTGATCCTACGGTTATTGCAAATTACAGGCCTATCTCCAAACTACCTTTTCTTTCCAAAATTCTTGAAAAGGTAGTTTACAGCCAAATAATGGCCTTCCTGGAAAAGCAAAATGTTTTAGAGGTTTTCCAATCTGGTTTTAAATCCTTTCATAGCACTGAATCAGCCCTTTTAAAAGTTTTTAATGACATATTTTTAGCGACTGATGCTGGGGACTGTGTTGTTCTTGTGCTTTTAGATTTGACAGCTGCGTTTGATACCGTGGATCATGCCATTTTATTCTCTCGTTTGGAGCACTGGGTGGGCATTAGGGGCACAGCACTGGAGTGGTTTAGGTCCTACTTGACGGGGCAAACTTTTTGTGTCAGCTTTGGTGACTATGTGTCGTCCTCTGCTCCCCTCTTGTGTGGTGTCCCACAGGGCTCAGTTCTAGGCCTCCTCCTCTTCTCTTTATATCTGCTTCCTCTTGGTTCTGTACTGAGAAATCACAGCATTGCTTTCCACTTTTATGCTGATGACTGTCAGATCTATGTCCCTCTAAAGAAAAAAGGCAGATATCTTACACAGCCATTACTTGGCTTGATGACATTAAGGCTTGGATGTCTGTTAACTTTTTAAAATTCAATGATAAAAAGACAGAGGTGATGGTTTTTGGTAGCCCCACTGAGACCCCCAATGTGTATGTAGATTCCCTGGCACAGTATGTTAAGCCAACTGTCACAAACCTGGGGGTCAAAGTGGACTGTGATCTGAAGTTTGATAATCAAATTAAGGCAGTGGTAAAATCTAGCTTCTTTCACCTCAGGCAGCTGGCAAAAATAAAGCCAAGTCTTTCACGGCAGCACTTTGAGACAGTGATCCACGCCTTTGTTAGCACTCGGCTGGATTACTGTAATGCACTTTATATTGGGGTCAGCGCATCATATATTAGCCATCTACAGAGGGTGCAAAATGCCGCAGCTCGTCTTTTAACTGGCACTCGAAAGTTTGAGCACATTTCCCCTGTTTTAGCTTCACGTCACTGGCTGCCCATTTCTTTTAGGATTCATTTTAAAATTCTTTTATTTACTTTTAAAGCTCTCCATGGCCTAGCTCCATCTTATCTCTCTGAGCTGCTACAGCCTTATACACCCACCCGCTCTCTCAGGTCAGCTGATCAGCTGCTCCTGAAGATACCTAGGACTGGGCGTAAACTTAGAGGAGATCGTGCTTTTGCTGTAGCAGCTCCCAAACTGTGGAACGAGCTTCCTTTAGAGATTAGACAGGCCAGTTCTTTATCTGTTTTTAAGTCACTCTTGAAAACCCACCTCTTTACCCTGGCCTTTGACACCACGTGAGATGTTGGTTTTTTATTTTAGTTGTTTTTAGGTGATTCGATGCTGTTTTATCTTGTTTTTGTTTTAACATAGGGCTGTTTTAATTTTATGTTTTATGTGTTTTATTTATTTATTTTGCTGTTTTCTGTTATTCTATTGTTTTAACTTATTTTCTGTACAGCACTTTGTTCCTGTGCTGGGTATTTTAAAGTGCTTTATAAATAAAATTGGATTGGATAAGCTTGAGGAAACACTGTGATTACGTAATGTTTAGACAGTTTGTTAATGTTACTGGATCCCTGAGGCTTACAGTGAGATATGTATGGATGAAACTAATGTGTACAAAAATCCTGATTTCGTTTCCTGATTGCTAAGCTGTCTCGTCTGAAAAATAACTGGCTCAAAGACAAAGTCGAAACTGACTCAACCGCCAAGACTCCCTGACTTTTCAGTGGAAGGGTCCACTGTAAACTGTTCTGAACTTGATATAAAATAAGACAAAATGAATGTATTTCTGTGCACTAAAGCATCATTCTGTTGCTTCTAGAGTCATTTCAGTACAGTAGTTTTACAAAGACTGGGGTTCATAATCAGCATGCAATTTTAAAGCGATTCAAGCACTAAAGCTTAAAAGTAATAGGGACACAGAACAACATAGTTGAACAACAAATATAAACCTGATCATTTTGAGACTGAGGTGTGTCATTGTTACTTTTTTGGTTGGAAGTAAAGTTTCTTGGTGAGCATTGAAGCAAAACAAGGCATTTGCTTCTTCCCGATAAATCTTGGTTGACATGGTGTTGGAATATTCCTCAGTGACACTTTTCTGTTGACCCGCGTGAGTAACTCTGTGAATTCCAGGCTATCACCATACTTTTGAAGCAGCTGACAGAGATCCTGGATATACCACGAACCGTTTTCCCTCTCCCGGAAGGAGTAGTAGCCTAACAAATAATGACAACAGCAAAATGGCAAAAATGAACATGGATGTCGCTTTGTGTCGCTGCTTTGTGTCTTTGATATTTCCTCTCAGTCACAATAAAAATAAAAATAAAAAGGTTTAGTCAAATGCTAGAAGACTCACCCTGAGCCACAGAATAGCACATGATGAAATCAGCCCCAGCAGGGAGGGTCTGTATGGTGCTGGCATCCATGAACACCTTTTCTTCAGACTCCATCGTAGAAGCTTCGGTCACTGTAACTGACACATCAAACTCTTTTCCGCGACATGCCTGGAGATGGGGGATGAACATTGGTTTCCAGTTGAATTAAATTAACTGGTTGTTGGACTTTCTGACAAACAGAAGACAGACTGACAGACTTCACTTCCTCCTACACCTCCTTCTCCATCATCTTCAACACTGGCTCTCCTCAGGGATGTGTTATAAGCCCCCTGCTGCACACTCTACTCTCTTATAAGTGCTCAGCCACAATGTCAAGTTTGCAGATGACACAGCAGTGGTGGAACTCATTTCTGGCACATATGAGACAGTTTTGTTTACCCAACTCTCATCCCAAAGAAGGCAACACAACAAAACATCCAGACTGAGACTCATGACTACGTTATGAGTTGGAATGACTGTAAACCTGTTGAATCTTTAGCAAATGGCTACACCAGGTTAATCTGATGGACTCATATGGGTTTTTGTGTTTTGTACCTGTATTATGAAGATCTTTGGCTTTCCAACAAGGTCCGGGCACTTGTCCCCTTTGAACTTGGACGTGATCTCCTGGATACTGATTTTTCCATCGTAGCAATAAACGTGGTTATCATCTCCATGACTCAGGAAGGCGAGCAAAAAGCAATCAGCATCTGAGTGATCTTCCTCCGCAGCTGGTGGGACAACAAGTACTTGTTAAACTTGCAGCGAAAGTTGGATTTGACAAAGATATTTTTGCAGCAAAGCAACAAATTGAATTATGTAAGAACTCAAACTACGGTGATGATTTTCTTTGTCCATCTCGATGCATGCTGGTCATTTGAGAGAAACAAATGATTATGTGGGTACCTTTGGCGATTTCATCTAGGACTGCCTCCAGCTTGAGGTTATTGTGACATTTCACTTCAAAGTTTAGATCCTTCAGTCTGAACAGAAAGTGAAAATGAGTTGATTAGTTTAGCAGATCAATGGTCAAATTTTTTTTTATTGTTCTTTATTAGCAATATAAATTCCTTAGACAAGGATCTGCTCGGATCAGGATTGATTGGACCTTTTTCAGAGTCCTATAAATTTCAATGCCTCAATATTTGTGCTTCTGCAGACACTCCAAAGCATCAGCTATTACCACCACAGGAGAGACGGTCATAGGATTCTTTCTAAAATCCACAGCCATCTCTTCAGTTGTTGATGCAGTGGGAATAACTTGGACCAGTGTGAAATCAACCTCTATAGGGCCACGATCACACTCTGTAGTGGGGATTGTGATCAGGGTCATCACTATTAAGAAGAAAAACAATCACCAAGTTCTCTGTGAACTTAAAAATAAAAATATAGCATATGACATATTGTCTTTGGCACTCCCTGGGGCACAGAGGTAAAAGATTGCAGCCCTGGGGCGATACTAGTAAAGAAGAAAAATATTCAGTTTTACCACAGAAAGGATCAACAACTCTAAACACGTGCTGGCATGCACTTGAGCATGAAGCTGTGCCAAAAACAGGTTTCCTCGTTCTTTAGCAGATAGCTAGAAGGTTGTACCTTTTCTCCAAGTTGTCACGATCAACATTGGTTCCACGCCTCTCAGGCAGTTCCCGGCGCCAGAAGAAGTCTTTCTGATTAAAAATGAGTGCAAGACCTCGTCGTTTGTTGCCCATCTGGTACTCCTCTGCACCATCTGAGGAGCTGATTTTAGAGTAAACAATTTGCAGTAAATGCAGGCAACATTCTCAGTGTCTGGAACCAGAATAAAGTAAGATTTTCCAGCTAATAGTGTTTACCTTTCAATGGTGACCTCATTCTGTCTTTGGTTCTCTGTGCACATTATCAAAAAGCACATTCGTAAATAACCAGTGCAAGAATTACAAAATAATAATGCAGTGTAATAATGCAAATCTTGCTTTACAGCTTATTTAAATACTGCAATATTCTTTTTTGTTAAACCATTGAGCTATAAGTGCTGCTAGTGCTGGGGTCAAGTAGCCATTTTTCCATACACTCAGAGTCCTGATAGTTGTCAATAGCTGGGTTACAGGCGGAGGAAGGTGGAGAAAGAATGTTGAAAGACCAGAAGCCATGTGGAACAGCTCTATTCTCCACACCCATTCTGCAGAATGGGTGTGTCTGGCATCGAGGCAGAAATGTATTATACTAAGGTGTCTTGACATGAATGCTGCTGTCGCTCTATAAACTGTATATCTTCTGCGACACAGCAAAATCCAACCTCAATAACCTTCATGCAGCTATGATTTGTTTATTTTCTTTTTTCTTTTTTTAAAAATCCAGCACAGGTAATTAGGGGAAAACTGTTGGATATCCATTCGTGCATATGAAGCACTTTTATAGATTTATGCAGGTCAGTTTCCTCAAGACATCAAGTCACTTTGAATGATATTTACTATAATTATTGTCTGCATGACAGTCAAATCAAAAGGAAAGTTAAGTGGATGATTAAAGTCACCCTGTTGGCTTTGTTTTACAGTTTGTTTCACTTTTTCTTTGTAGGAATATTCTCTCTTCCCTATTTCAAAAGAAGCTTGTAGCATTGAAATGCTCACCTGTCATATTGTTAGTTTGTGGTCGTCTGTGTAGGAACACTTCCTGGGAAGGTCATAAAGAAACAAAAGTTTTCACTTTGTAAATGATACAACATGAGGCACCTGATTCAAAAGGTGACTGACCTGATCAAATTTAAGGCAAAGGTGTGACAGCACCTGTATGGGTCACACGTCTATTCTCAATTTAAAACAAAAATCTTAATCTGTTACCTGTACAATAGTCTCCTGCCCTGTTAGACCTTTCTTCTGACTGACACAGCGAGAAAAACATATTTGCCAGATTAAATCATGAATGAAGAACCAGGCTGTAGCCCCGCCCACCGGAATCTCATTGGATTGCAGCACTCTGTTCTGTGCTCCTACAGGGCAGGGGAGGTGTCTCTACTGCCAGCAGCAGATACCGACACAGAGGCTGCAACTCAACTGCCTGCTCAGACCCACAGTCAGTGTGTGACCTTTGAACAGCCTGTAATGACAAACTTCAGTTGACATTATAACGTTTGGTGCGTACGGGCTGCTCTGACAGCCAAACTTGCACTGCAGTATACATGTTGTACCCAGTTGTACCCAGTTTCTCAAAAGCAAAGATTTCTTCAATCTTTGCTTTTGCTGTTTGGCCTAAAGAGGTTGGGTCATTACCGCCTTGCCTCATCCTGTCACGTGATCACCCGACACAACATGCGTTTCTTTCCGCTGTTGTTCTTGGTGGTTAAAGCCCACAGGAGCACCTGGCTGCAGCCAGACCCTTCTCGGTTAAAGGGAGCAGTTTGCAGCAGGTGTTCGTTTAAGCTGTAGTGCTACCGAGTGACCACAAGGAAGCGCTGTTTTCTTACCTAACTTTAAATATTGATATCAAAAGTGGAAAGTCAAACAGGAACGCTTTGTCAGTGTGTGTCAGGCTAATAGTATGTAAGATTGTTTAATGTGATGAGGGGAAAACTTGACAATCTTATCAGGAACCAATATGACGACAATATTCTCAGGAGTTTCTAGGAAGTCTCCCCTTCTTCACTTCCCCTAATGTAGTTTTTAATAAAATCATAAAGATGTCTTTCCAAATGTGCCCAAAGGAAAACGTTTTTTGTTGGAATAACTGAAAAAGTAAAATCCTCTTAATCAAGATATATATGATTTTAGGTTACAGTGTTTAATGTTTTTAATTAATGAAAAATTGATTAATCTGAAAATTTTTAAATTGAATTTTTGTAATCAACTCATAGTTATTCTGCTTAAATAAAATTTCACTACTGCGAGCAAGGGTTTTTTTTGTACCTTTATTTAAACTGTTTATTTCCCATGTATAAAAATCATGCTACATCTAATTGATTTTCTCTTGTTATGTTTTAGTTAGACCAGAAAACCAGACTAAAAATATTTGAGCAGACAGTCTGGCATTTACCATCATAAAGCATTTGCCATCACCATAAAGATGATGCCTTTATGAAAGCTGGAAAGAAACCCTACCCAAAATCAAAACTGAGGATCTAAGTCTTCTCTCTGTTGCCCACGACTGACAGTTACATATCAATCTGAACAAAGGGCTAAGGTTTACACAAGATCATCATCTACTCTGAAGAGACAAAACAGCTGACTATGCCAGAACTTGCAGTGCCCTGGGAAGAGGATATGGAAGAAGCAATTGAGCCAAAACATGCAAAGTACCAAGAGCCCATTGAGAAGAGACTGAAAGGGCCCTCTGTCAGCACAGCTCAAAAAGGCTGGGTATTTTGTATCAGGTTTTTTATTACAGGAGAGGCAAAGAAGATGGCCATTAAAACCATGAGTGAAGCTGGGTTTTGATTAAAAGGGCTGACCTGTGGGTGGTTTCTGCTGGGGCACAAGTCAGGGCTTGATCAACCTCAGCTGGGTCACCTGTGTAGGATGTCTGATGCAGGTTTTGGTCCATTTTGGAGTGTGGTTTGACATTCTGCATTCTTATATGAAATTAAATAATGAAACACACTCTCATCAATCACCGACTTGACAACCTCCAAGTCTGAGTTTTTTTGGTCATTTTTTTAGGTATGGTGTAAATTAAAGCTCATTTGGGTTGATCTTTGCTATAAAAACTTCTCCAGGAATAGTTCTCCAGGCTTCTTGAAGGACATTTAAAGCTCTTCTTTGAATCTTGGTTGCTTTTTTGTTCTAATCTATGTCAAGATGATCCTACACTGCTTCAATAATATTGAGGTCCGGGCTCTGGGGAGGCCAATCCATGATTGATAGTCTTCCACTGTGTGTTTTTCTATGCAGGTATGCTTTTATTGAACTGGGACTTCTGGGACTCTTTTTGGGATCCTTGTCACGCTGAAAAATATAGCTAATGCCAGTAAGACACTTTCCAGTATTACATGGTAGATCAAAACATAATGGTACTTTTCTGCATTAAAGTATGGCTTCTTAACAGCCACCCTTCCTTCCACTGACACCATTTCTGATGAGGCTTTTGCAAACAGTAGATGGATCTGCTCCTGTGCAAATTCACTGGCCTCATCCAACATATATATAGATATGATTAAAACATGTCACCTTAGACACTTAAAGACTCATTTACTTAAAAACGATGGATAACAAGGTAACAGTTAAAGCACAACTATTTTTATTGCAAATTTAAAAGATGTTTCTACAAGTCACATCTGCACCAGTCAGCACTTCAGATACGGTAGAGATAAACATCAACTTAATCACAAGTTCTTGTTATTGTCACAGAAAAGGGAAATGTGCTGTTTTCTTTTACAGTTCACTATTTGCTAATGACATCTTGAAAATTAAGCGATTTCAGGAAATCTAGACGAAGCTCTAGCAGGTTACTCAGGTTGTGATGAGTTTAAAAGAAATCGCTGAACTGATCTCTGGGGGTGGGTGAAACAAATAAAGCAAACAAAAAAAAAACCCCAAAACAGCTCCATCTATTATAATTAAATAAAGTAACCAATAATGGTTTGGTACTGGAAGCGACATTTATATATACTTAATATATTTCTCATTGTCAACAAATGACATGTTTTAGGCAGGGAAAGCTGAACCGTACATTAATTTTAACAACAAAACAAAACTCATTATCCTTTTACAGCTGAGGGGTAAAAACAGTTTTTTTCCCATTGAATTAAAACAGTTCAGTCAGAAGTGTTCAAACTGAACATGGTCACAGTCTTTTTTTAATGTAAACTTCTGAGGAAGTTATGCAGACTTCACAGAAATATAAAATAAACTGCTGGTTTAAAGGCAAACCACAGAAACCCTGAACAATATATATAAATAATCAATGACATAGGAAAGATATTAATTGTCCACTCTCCATCTAAAAAAGGAGGCAACAGACACAGATTAGTGCAAACCCAGTAGCTCTATCCCTGAGAACATCTAAGAAAGACAGAAAGGTTATTGCTAGCATCCTTCTGTTAGTGTTGAGTTTCTGAAAGGGTCAGCTGACAGTCTCGTGGCTGTGGTGGCGTCACAGCTCAGTCTTCACTTCATACTGGCACACACACGACGCTCGCTGACTGTCCAGGTAAGGCTTACATCCCAAGTGCATAACTGCATCGAAAAGCAAAGTCACTGCTGACTCACATGCTGTAAAACAGACAACACGAGAAATAATATGAACAGAAAAATCAGCTCACATCAATTCAAGCTCATTTATATAGCACCGAAGCGTAACAGCTGCCTCAAAGTGCTTTAAACTGTGGGGTAACAACTGTACAGCAAACACTTTATGATGGTTGGGAGTAAAAAAAACCTCCCTTTTAACAGAAAGAAACAGTGAGGTGCAGCCATCTCGAATGACTGGTTGTGGGTGAGAGGAGAGTGGAAAGAAAAGAGGAAGAAACAGGAAGAGAGAAGGCAAAAATGTAATGACATGCTGCGGTGGCATATAAACCTGTGGGGTTAAATAAAAGGAGACGAGTAGAGAAGAAGTGCTCACAGTGTATCACATTACATCCTGCAGGAGCCTGAACAGCAGCAAGGGATCCTGAAAGGGTGGTTCAGGGTCACCTGACCAAGCTTTACCACAGACTTTATCAAAAAGAAACTCTTTCAATCTAATCTTAAAACTAGAGAACGTGTCTGAGTTCCAAATTCAAACTGGGAGCTCTGCCTCTCATTCAACTTTTAGAAACTCTAGGAAAAACAAGTAAGCCTGCAGTCTGAGATAACACGATAGAACTTAGGGCCAAATATAATGACCTCAGTTTTGTCTAAATTTATAAGAAAAACACTACAGGACATCCAGGTGTTTAATACATCACTGGAGTTTAACTCATTGAATTTTTTTATCAGGCTTCATTTATAAATAAAGCTGGAGTCTGCACAGCACTGAAACTGTTTTCTAATAATACTGTCTCAGGGAAGCATGCATACTGGTAATATAAACAGAATCAGACTCAATACAGAACCTCGTAGAACTCCATGAACAACTTTTGTATTCACAGACACAGCAGCATAGGCTGCGATTAAGTGATTAATTATAGAATTAATCGCTGACTAAGGTCTTTCCCCTAGTCCTAAATATAGACAAAAAGACAGCAAAAATCATTTTTAGATCACCCCACTTACACAACTCTTAATTTCTTCAGTGTATCAATAATAGAAGGATGACTGAACAGTGCCTTTTGCACCATTAACAACAGCTGGGTCTCAGAGGCTTTTCTCCATTTACACCTTTCCGCTACAGCTATAGTATGCATATTGCTAAAACTTTATTAATACTAAAATGACTGCTTCAAGTCATTCGGAATATTCATCATTCCTGTGCAGTATTATAGCATGTTTTATTACTTCCTGGAATAAAATGGTGAAAAAAGCAGGAAAAAGGCTTGAAAGGAACTTAGGATTGTAAAAGCTGAGTTACTAACACCATGCTTCTGTTTAAATAAAGTGTCACGGGGTGACAGTGAGTCTGGCTAACTGGCTAATCTAAACAGATTGAAGCAGTGCACTTCCCCCTGTTTAAGATGTGTTTTATCACCTGTGTAACAAGCTGTGGGTGATTCACAGGTTCTTTAAAGTAACCTCCCAATTTTACTAACGTGGCACTCTTACAATCTTACAAGGCTGTAAGAGCGGCATGTTCAATAAAGCCAATCAAATCATAACACAAACAAGTGATTTAGAGAGCAAATATGTATGTTGTAGTTGTAACAGATTTGTATTGTATGACATGCAAAACTACTGTATATTATGGTATGATATATTTGTTTTTTACTTGAGTTTCTATTTATTTCTATAAACATGTCCAAACGTAGCACCTAAGCAAACTTAGTCCACAAAATCTGTTTGCCTTTTTGCACAACCTCTTAAAATTATTTCCTAAACCACTGCTCTCTTACCTTGGACAGTTTGGGCCAATCCCAGAGTCCTCTGTACATTCCTGCAGATT